GGGTTGAGGTCAGGGGAGGCAGGTGGCCACACCATGAGTTTCTCTCCTTTATGCTCATAGCAGCTAGTGACACAGAGGTATTCCTTGCATCATGAGATGGTGCATTGTCATGCATGAAGATGATTTTGTTATGGAAGGTACGGTTCTTTTTTTTTTTTTACCGTGAAAGAAAGTGTGACCTCATCAAAGTCTACAGACTTTGATGAGGTCTCACTTTCTTTCACGGTAAAAAAAAAAAAAGAACCGTACCTTCCATAACAAAATCATCTTCATGCATGACAATGCACCATCTCATGATGCAAGGAATACCTCTGTGTCACTAGCTGCTATGAGCATAAAGGAGAGAAACTCATGGTGTGGCCACCTGCCTCCCCTGACCTCAACCCTTTTGAGAATCATTGGAGTATCCTCAAGCAAAAGATCTATGAGCGTGGGAAGCTATTCTGACATCCCGCAAAGAAATTCAAGCAGAAACTATCCACCAACGCACAAGTTCAATGGATGCAAGAATTGTGAACGTGACAACAAAGAAGGGGTTTTTGTGTATTAACATGCAACTTTGTCTGTTAACATGTTTTTGATTGAAATATATTTTGATTTTAGAAAAGGTGACCACTAATGCTGCCCATTTGAAGAATGACCATTTGTAGTTCTTTATAACCCATAAAATATTTTGAAAATCTGCTGTGAATAATAATTTGGAACAGAGCATTTTGAGTTTTAATTTAAAAAAAAATACTGTTATCATTGGGAGGATTGTTCAGTAAAATTTGATCTATACTCCAATAGTTTATAACTTGAAAATTTTGCTAACTATTATTTGCATTGACCATTTAGGAAAATCTGAGAAAATATCACTTGCATAATAATTTGGAACACGGTATATAAACCTATCTTTTGGGAATAATTCTGCTCCACCAGTGAAACGCTCTGTGAAACAGAGATGCTTGCAGTCTGTCTTATTTAGAAAATATATACATTTTTATTAATGTTATTTTTCAAAAAACCAAAAACAATAAATGCTTAGCCTGGCGGCCTGCCATTCTTATAACACATTGGGGAAATCCTGATAAAATATACGATGCATTGTACATACTGTAGTTTGAATGGCTTTGAGGTTCCAATACAATCCTCCCAAAAAGTGAGGAGTTGAGGAGCTTTAGACACAGTGTGAAAATATTATATCATATTGTATGTGTATTTCATTGACACTTGCCATTGTAGATTAACACGTACATTATTCAGCAAAGTAAACATTTTGACATTACTATTACGATTGCCATTAACAAGAACCCAAAATACAAGTCATGTTTGTTAATTAATACTTTGTACAACATAATTCTATCCACTCACTATTTAGCTGTCTTCTTGGAAGATCTTCAATGTAAGAAAGTGAGAAACTGTGTCCAAAATTTGTATCCAGTACTGGATTCTGTTTT